TTGTTACGTTTATACTCAGAACAACCAACCACATTTCACCATTTACAGCTGGTCTTACTTAACAATCAAGCATTACATCATCTTGTTACACCTGTATGCTGTAAGTCATTACATTGGCTTTTACACTACATTTGTGATGCTGCACTTCATTACAATATTAAAATTTAACTCCCTGTTCACCAAAAGAACACAAACCTGACAATAAGCCCCTAGTCAGTTCCCTGCCCCCTTGTTGCCACCTGTTGCTTGTGTTCAGGTGTGAATTTCCTGCCAGACGGATCTTTTAGCTGCAATCATCCCAGTTAACCTATTGAAACAATGAAGTCTCCCACTCCATTTTACATACGATAAGGCTTGACCGCATAACCGGTTTGGCTACCTTCAGACCTGCATGCATACACATATCCCACTAGCCATTGATAATAGATAGGTAAAGGTTCCCCTTGACATTTAGTCCAGTCGTGTCCGACTCTAGGGCGTGGTGCTCATCCCCATTTCTAAGCCGTAGACCCAGTGTTTGTCCGTAGACAGTTTCCGTGGTCACATGGCCAGCGTGACTAGACACGGAATGTCATTACCTTCCCACCGTGGTGGTACTTATTTATCTACTCACACTTACGTGCTTTCGAACTGCTAGGTTGGCAGGAGCTGGGACAAGCGACGGGAGTTCACTCCATCACATGGATTCAATCTTACGACGGCTGGTTTTCTGACCTTGCAGCACAGAGGCTTCTGCAGTCTAACCTGCAGTGCCACCACATCCCTTTAATACAGGGTTCCCCAACCCCCAGTCCGCGAGGCGACATCAGCTGGGCCGCGGGGACACAGTGACAGCCGTTACAAAAAGGGAGGGGCGGAGTGGGCTTGCCTGGGCTGGAAAATCTGTTGCTGTTGGGGCTGCTTCCTCAGAGGCAAGAAGGCCTCAAAGCCACGGAACTTCTATTGGAGGGGGCGGACAGGGCTTGGGCAGAGGGAGGAGGGAGGCCAGCTCAATGGCCCCAGGAGCAACCATTATAAGAGGTTTTTGTTTTTTTTAGCTTGCCTGGGCTTGAAAATCTGTTGCTGCTGGTCCCCTTTCTGCCTTTTACCAGAACAGAGCTGCATATCAGCAAGTCTTTTGTAAAACTAATAGGTCCAGATTGTTCCCCAGACAGCATGGCTAGTATTTGGGAATGGTGGAGATTGTAGTCTGAAATGTCTGGATGGGCATCAGGTTGCCTGCTTCTGTTCTTAATGAGTCTTAATGTGGACTTATTTATTTACTTAAAATATTTTTACCCCATCTTTCTCCTTGAAAAGAACTAAGGCAGCTTACAACATTAAAAGACAAAATTAAGGCTAATCCAAGTGAGCATATAAATACTTTAAAAAGGTCAAACAAATACAGTGGATATAAAAAGTTTACACACCCCTGTTAAACTGTCAAGTGTCTGTGATTTAAAAATGAGACAAAGATAAATCATTTCAAAACTTTTTCCACCTTTAATAACACCTATGAACTGTACAACTCAATTGAACAACAAACTGATTTTTTTTAGGTGGGGGGAAGTAAAAATAAAAAACTGAAATAATGTTTGCATCTGTGTGCACACCCTTAAACTAATATGTTGTTGAAGCACCATTTGATTTTCTTACAACACTCAGCCTTTTTGGGTATGATTCTGTCAGTATGGCACATCTTGATTTGGCAATATTTGCCCACTCTTCTTTGTCAAAATGCTCCAAATCTCAGATTGCAAGGGCATCTCCTGTGCACAGCCTTTTTCAGATTACCCCACAGATATTAAGTCAGATTCAGGTGTGGGCTCTGGCTGGGCCATTCCAAAACATTAATCTTCTTCTGGTGAGGCTGTTCCTTTGTTGATTTGGATGTTTGCTTTGGGTGGTTGTCATGCTGAAAGATGAAGTTCCTCTTCATGTTCAGCTTTCTAGCAGAAGCCTGAAAGTTTTGTGCCAATATTGACTGGTATTTGGAACTGTTCATAATTCCCTCTAGCTTGGCTAAGGTCCCTGTCCCAGCTGAAGAAAAATTTAGCCCCAAAACATGATGCGGCCACCACCACGCTTCACTGTGGGTATGGTGTTCTTTTGGTGATACGCAGTATTGTTTTTGCGCCAAACAAATCTTTTGGAATTATGGTCAAAAAGTTCTTGTGCTTGAGAGTTTGTACTACATTTCCTTTTTCCCTTCTTTGTCACTTTTTTAAAACTTGTAAACCTAAGGGCATAGACTGTCTTGTCTTAAAAATGCCCACAAACTACTGCTACTTATTAACATTTATATTCTGCTTTTCCTCTTATGAGGTAGCCTATGTGGCTCTTCTCATCCAGCGTCATCCTCACTGCAACCCAGTGAGGTATGTCAGGCTGATGAAGAGCAATTAGTCCAAGATCTGTCTGCTCAATCCTGCCTCATGGAGTAACAGATACAGAGAGGAAAAGAAAGAGGGTATGTGAGTATATGTGAGAGAGTAAGATTTTACTCTCTGGAGAGTGTATTATCTGCTGATGGGTGGGATGGATTAATTCTGTGGCAGAAGTTGCAAAATTCATAGAGAAGTGGAGATGTGTGTGTGTGCAAGGATGTAAAAATGGAGAGGGATGGAATGGGAGAGGGGAAGACATTCTTGCAAGAAAGGAAGTTGATAGAGATGCTTGCTGTTTGTCAGCTGATAGTGTATGAGTAGAAGATTCTCTTTTTGGAACAAAATAATTGCATGTTAGCAATTTGGTCTCTAGTTCCTCTGCCCCTTCGAAATCCATCTTGTACTTCTGGGAGTTCTCGGTCCACATACTGCTGAAGCCTCCCTTGTAGGATTTTGAGCATAAACTTGCTAGCGTGTGAAAGGAGTGCAATTGTACAGTAGCTGGAGCATTCTTTGGCATGGCCCTTCTTTGGGATTGAGATGTAGACTGATCTTTTCCAATCCTCTGGCCACTGCTGAATTTTCCAAACTTGCTGACATATTGAGTGTAGCATCTTAACAGCATCAGCAGAGGTGCCCAGGAGCCATGTGCATTCTTGGCTGGGCTGCCCACGGCCCACTCTCCGCCCTCGCTTTCTCCCTCTCCCACCCCAGCACGCTCACTCACTGGCCCTTCCACTGCGCTAGCCCTGCACGGGAAAGGAGGGGAAAGCCGCCTCCTGCAGCCCCTTCCCACTTTTTCCCGCCGCCCTTTCAAAGACACACACACACAGGTGCATCCTGCTTAGAGAAGGGGAAGACGTCCCTTGGCAACCTCTGGTAATTAAAAGTTATTGCTTAATTACTTGAGCAGTCTTTCTCCGTTTTAATCACAGGAGACAACATTAATGCTGAAAATAAGAAGGAAGCAAACGTAGACCCCATCTGAAAGAGACACTCTTCCTGCACTCTCTCCTCTGTGTAGGCCAGTTTGAGAACTTGATAGGCTAGGCTTTTCTGGCTGCCCTTTTACCCTCCTGCCCCAGATCCAGAAATTTTGTAGTCTTAAAAAACTTACACTGTAAAATGGTTAAAGACATCTAGGTCTGACTATCGTTCTCAAAGAATTTTGCACTAAGACGCTGCAAAAAGTGGTCATATCGACCAGATAGGCGGGATATAAATTGAATAAATAAATAAATAAAATTACGCAAATGGTCAAATGGATCCTAGTCATGTTTATTAAGACGAAAAGTACCTTATGTCAGAACGGACGTGACGGCACACAATTACGTATCTTTATTATTAACACTCACTGATTGACAAAAATGGGACTCTTTCCCAAATGAATATGAATTGGATTACAGTATTAATCAAAGGTACTGTAATTAAAGGTGTTCAAGCTAATGTTAGATTGATGCCAAAGAATCTTGAGCAAGAAGATTTTTTAAATCACCCGTATAGTTCTAGGAAGAGAAAATGCCAAGGCTTTCTTGGTTCCCAAAAGGCATCTTTTAGTCTCATGCCCTCTTTTTCACATGTATAGAGCAGTACAGTATGTATAGAATAGTAGTAGTACAGTAAACATACAGTACTATACAGTATGTATAGCAGTAGTACAGTAAATATGTACTACTAGACACTGTCTACATTAAGGAAATTGTGGACTGAAACGTAAAGATCTCTGTGTTCTGTACTCTGGGGCCAAAAAGATATACAGTATACACAAGATAGTTTGTCTTAAATTAATTTAACTTTCAAAACTCAAATTAATGAAAACGTACAGAGATCTACAATGAGCCAAGGACTGAATAACCTAGCAATAGTGTCTGTCAGTTGAGAGAGATTTCTATATAGATTTCATTACTGTTATTGAAAAATTTGCATAAATTAAAACCAGGCATTTTAAAATACATTTGAATATAAAGCTGACTGCATTTTACTTTAATTATACAGTGGGGTCTTGACTTAAGAACGGCTTGAGTTAAGAACATTTTGACTTAAGAACCGCTCTCATAGGAAAATATTGACTTGACTTACATACTTAGATTTGAGTTAAGAACTGAAAAAAACCCACGTAGGAGGCAGGGAAAGTGCAAAATGTGAACTTTCAGTTAACTGTTGGCCAGTGAAAAGGGTGCCTGTCTGCTTCCTCACTCCCCCCAGCGTTTAGAGAGTGGATTGGGAGACAGTCTTCAGACTGCCTGGTACTGAACTGCCTGGACTGTATTTTCCCTGCCTTCCCTGAACCTTTCTTGACCTAAGAAAAAAAGAAACAAAATATCCACCTCTAGTGGTTGAAGGCGGAATAGCAGCTTCCCATTAGTTTCTATGGACGGAAAAGAGCAGATACGGATCAAATGGTTTTCAATGCATTCCTATGGGAAATGCAGATTTGACCTGAGAACTTTTTGACTTGAGAACCGCCTTCCAATACGGATTAAGTTCTCAAGTCAAGACCCCACTGTATCAGTATTTCCTTGAAATACAATACATGTGCTGAGGGTTCAGTACAGACTGGTGGAAGGGACTCAGGGAGTGTTAAAAGTCCACAGGTTTTGTGTGTGTGTGTGTGCGCGCAATACTTGCCCCGGTACTGGCAACCCACCCTATGCTACTGAAAAAACCCTAATGATTTATTTAACAAGTTAATAAATAATCAATGAATTAAATTGAAGGAACTAAATGCAAATGATAGTAATAGTTCATTTTTTAGATTTGAGTGGTTAACACCAAGGAATTACAGTAATTTCTAAATGTCACATTCCAGGCTCTAGATGGCCAGAGAACACTTGGGCAGGAGTGACTGAAGGCATTTTGCACATGCTCAAACATGGTTAGTTTTACAGCTTAGTGCCGCCTCCCCCACTTGTGACTCCCTTAAAATACCGTACTATTTTTATTTTGCATAAGCTTTTGTTGCCTATAGGCCACTTCCTCAAGTGCTGCCAGGAGATGTGAAGTAGCAAGTTCATGACTTCTTTCTGTCAAATAAAACTAGCTGGGGCATTTACTTATCGATTTAAAATATTTATCATCCACCTTTCTCCACAAAAGGATCAAAATGCAGCTGACAACATTGAAACAATAATAGAAGTTTAAATTAAAAACAAGCAAAACACAGCAGCCCTGTTCTTAAGATCCTCCTCTTAAGCCTCGGTTTCTGAGGAAACGGCTTCCTGAGAAGCCTTTGCAGAGAGCGAGCGAGAGAGCAAAGGCTTCCTCTGACGACTTAAAAACCCAACAGACTCATAACCCGTAAAGTCCCTTCCAGCAGTGCCCCTCTAAGATGATGACTGTAAGGATGATTAAAAGCACAGCCCCCCCCCCTTTGCAAGTCTGTTGGGCTCAAGTCCTTTCTTCTGCTCTTCGAGAAACAACGAAGGGGCTCCGAAGGGATGCCAACGACCCACTCCAAAACCGGCACAGTCGCAGAATTTCATTCCCACAACCGACTCCGAAAGGGACTCGTCGTCGGGAAGGGACACCACCACCACCACCCCTCCGCGCTCGCCCCCAAACCGCCTCCAGACGCCCTGGCGCGTCCTTCGGGGCAGCCTTGTCCCGGCCAAGCGGGGGGACGGCGGCGGCGGCAAACTTTCCCCTCAGGTTTCATTTTAAACCCGAAGCCCTGTCGGGCGGAGAGACGTTGGCAACCCCTTTCTCCGCTCCTCCGGCTTTCACAGACGGGGGTGGAGGTGGTGCTGAGGAGGAGGAGGTCTAAGCTTATTTTAGGACCTTCCCTGAGGGGAGAACCACCAGGAGCCGCTGCCTCAGCCTCCCGCTTCTTTCCCTCCGTTTCAGGGCGGGCTCGGGCGCCTTCTCTTCCCTCCCTTTCCGCCGCCGAGCGGGAGGAGGAGGAGGAGGAGCGGCCACAGGAGCGACAACAGCAGCAACAACAAGCCCCGAGGAGAGGGAGAGGCCGAGGGCGCCCGGAGCCGGAGCCGCCTTCGCTGCCCCCGTGACGGAGGCGGGGAGGACGGCGAGGAGCGGCGCCCCGGAGGCTCTCGAGCGAGGCGGGAAACTGGCCTGAAGGAGACGTCGCTCCAAGCAGGCAGCGCTCGCTGCCCGCCCTGAAGGGCAAGGCGGTTGCTCCGCCTCGGCGGCGGGACTCCGCAAACATGTCTCCCCCTTCGCCTTCCTCGCCGCTGCCGCCGCGGCCGCCCCCTCCTCCCCCTCCCCTTCTT